CTCCACACATCTAGGTACTTATAAAACTCCAGACTAGTGGGTGTGAGGGGGGCTCCTTTAGATTTTGAGAACTAGTGAAGATGAAGTTATCACTGACTTTAAGAAATAATTCATCAATGGTTTTAAAGGATTGTAGAGATATGAGGGCTGAGTAGAGGAACTTGGAATATATTTATTTGAAGATTACCTTTAATAGAATAATAGAGATAATAGAAAATAAGGAGGAAGATGTGGTTGGATGTTATAAGGCTAATTGGATTGATTTAAACAAACAGCTTTTTCAAAAAGTATTCTTTTTGCAAAAAGGACACTTTGTAAACAATCTGTTTGATACAAATATAATGGGAACAGGATTTATCTACTTAGAGAGAACTAACATTGGATACTTATGCAACTAACATTACTTTTAGAGAAGATAGGAAGCTATTATGATATAATGCAATTGGAATAACTTTGTTCAATTGACTTTGCGAATTTAATATAGAGAGATAATAAAGATATTAGCTATTCCTGATTTAATAGGATATTAACAATAATGGTTACAAAGTTTATTATTTGAAAGACTGATAATAAGTCTTAAGATCAGATGGCTTGAAAAGTTTTGAAATCCTTTGACCTGTCTAATGCTAGACTGAACAAGAATGTACTATCGAATAATAGATGTAGAACCATGAGGATTCATATTTAAGATAATAGTTTGAGTATAGTTTATTCATTTCCATGGAAATAAATTAAAAAGTAAAATGAATTTTATCAATATCAGTACTAAATCCCCATCTATTTAGTACCTATCTTGAATCTTGTAAATAAATATAAGGAAGGAATCAGAAGAGAATTAACAGGTAAAGAGATCTTTATTGGAAGTATAATTGCTAAGTGAGGATGTTGCTATCATTTTGTAGAATAAATTGACACATTTTTACTCAGAGTTATTAAAAATGGCAGCTTGTTTAATTTATTAGTTCAAATAATTCTTTGATTTAAATCTATAACTATATCAAATAGTATGCCTATATTTACTCATTATCATAGTGTTAACTAATAATTGTATAAGGTCAACAGAGATACCGCGATGTAAACTATTTATTTAAGAATAAATTTGTTAATCAGGTTATTTGAGTTCAATGTTCTGAGATAGGGTTTTTTATAATTAAATAATGAGAAAGTTTAATGCTCCTTATCTTCAAATGAATAATATTATGAAGAGCTTAGTATAGAAACTAGAGGGATGAACCTAGAAGAAGATAATGAATATGAAAATGAAAATGGAGAATGATTCATATTGATTAGATTAACAATACATATGAGTGAATTTAAGAAAAAAATCAAATATTTTTGGATTTTAGTCATATTTTTTATATCAAACCTAAAAGCTGTTTAAATATTTTCCGCTTCACATTTGAAAAGCCAAAAGTCAATTAAATTTTTGAAATGTTTTGAACTATAAAATATATTGATTAACCTTTTTCTATATTAACAATAATTCAGTTTGCCCAATACTCTTTAGCTAAAATTCCTAAATAAAAAATTTTTGTTTATGAAAACATTCAGTTTATGTTACTTGGAACATATTTTATAACTTCATATATTCTGTAAGTCTTTTGCTTCTCATATGTATATAGATGTGCTGATTCTATTAATATTCGGATAAGTTATTCCTTCAACAATAAAATTAGGCTAATGTTTTTTTTTTTACTATTATCCCGAAACTTCAAAACATTAACAGCACTAGTTGGCCTCTAGAATATTTCAGGAAAGTAATTATTTTAATGAAAATATTGAAATTCACGAGACATTAGACGATAATGGCAATTGATTTTATTATTTTTAATACAAAGCTTTATAATCAATCACATAACAAAATATTAATTCGAGTGTAAATTAAAAGAGCTAATTATATTTCTTTATAAATAAGAATCCCTATATTATAGATAATCATCAAATAATTTGAATTTTACAAATTGAGCTCCGAACTAACATAATTTAAACGAAAATCAAATTAATTTTTTTTTAAAAATAATATTAATAATTCTCAATATTCTTGATATCTTCTGATTTGTATTTATTTTGAGTTGGCATCCCAAGTGATCAAATACTCTCCATCATCATTCATTACTCCAAATAATGAAGGTGTATTATAATTAATGGATTATTCAGTTACAAACTCTCCATTTAATTTTTTCCTTATAACATTTACACATTATCCATTCTTACTCAAAAGGAAACATTTTGATATTATATATTATGAAGGGAATAAACAATTACCATCTGATTCACATTTAACATTAATATCTGTAGTTTTTGTAAATTATTGATTTATACTGTTCATTTCAAAGATAGAGATCTATTCTTTGTCACATAATGATAATGCAAACATATTATTATCAATAAAGCATACTCGATATCCATATTATTCAACTGTGATCTTTTATATTATAATCCATTTTTTATACTCTCCTTCTTGTTCCATTATTAATATTAAATAATCGCTACCACAAGAAACAATTCTATTTTATTATTAATTAAAACTCAAACCATAAACATCACTAGTATGATCTTCAATTGTTTAATAGCAGGACCATTAACCCTTTTTCACCCAAAATTTTATTGTATTATCCCAACTTCCTGATACAATTAAATCTTCATTGTTATTTAAAATTAGACAAAAGATATAACTGGTATGTCCGTTTAATATTTATTAGGAAATCCATTAATTGTTTTGATTTTATTACCATATTATTATAGAATTATCACAACTCCCAGATATAAACTAATATGATTTCTTCATGAAGTTTAAAGTAAATACACGATCCTTATGTTTCCGTAAAATTTAAGTTATTTTGATAATTCCTTTATTGAATTCAAATACTTTAATTTGATTACCACATCCAGCCAATAATATAGAGCAATCTTAATTAATGGGTATTGCACAGCAATATTTCCTT